GTGAGAGCAGGCGCTGGGTTTCGGGGCTCTGTAACATGGGTTCTCATGTGTGTGTTTTCTTTCTCTCCTTCTCCTCTCCCTCCTCCTCCCCAAACACACACGTACACACACACACACGCTTCCCCTCTCCCTCCCCCTCCTCAAGGCCGAAAAGGCAAGCCAAACCTGCAGCTGACGAAGGCTTTTGGGATTGTAGTGTGTGCACCTTCAGGAACAGCGCCGAAGCCTTCAAATGCAGCATCTGCGATGTCAGGAAAGGCACCTCCACAAGGTACGTCCGCACCTTTCGACCTGGCTTTCGCTCCGCGCTGGGCTGCGCCGACTTGTTGATTTTTTTTTCGCTCTTGCCCGGATATCGGCTGGTTGCATCCCCCTTCCCCCCGATGCAGTCCCTTCTGTCCCTGTTCAAAAGCTTGTGGATTTTAAAAATTCTCTTTCAAGCGCTTAATTAGAGCTGGAAGACACGTTTTGTGGATGTGGCAGCGACCTGAATCTTTTTGTTGTTCTGTGCTTTTTTGTTGCTGATGTACGGAGGACCTCTTGAAGATCCGCAGGCAGCCAGAAACGTTCTGACTGTGGTTTGGGGCAGACGGTTTTCTGTGGTTTGGGTGGAGATTTACGTGTGTTTTCTACAGGAGTAGAAACGATTGAGGATTAGGGAGCGAGAAGGGAAACGGCTGAAACTAAAGATGCCACGAGAACAACAACTCCCTAACTGAGATGTTGATCTCTTGGTGTCTGTTGTCATCCGAAAAGCATTGGCTTTGTGCTCAGTGTGGGAATGGTGCGGATTTCTGAAAGCTGCCAGGTCTCTCTGATTGCCTTGCGCAGAGTAACTGTGGAAGTCTTTATGAGATGGAGAAGATGACATTCAGTAGTTAATTAAAAAAAAAAAACCAACCAAAAACTTGCACTCTACCAGTTAATGGGTTCAGAAAGTTTGTCCTGGAAATACCAGTTGGCACTGAAACAGGCATGTGGTGCTCGGCTTTTTCTTTCTTCTTCTGATGTGTTCTACCATGTTGACTTCTGATTTTGTTCATATTGTGCCTTCCAAATGTGAGTTCCCGTTGCTCTGCTCTGCCTAGGAAGTAGTCCGTAAAATTTCCATTGTGAAAGGCATCGTTTTCCTCCTTTGAGTGAAGCAGTGTATTGAGATGCTCTCTCTCATCAGCAGGCTGTTTGCATGACTTGGCTGTCTTGACTTGATTGACAAAGGAGGTGAAAGCGTGTTCGGTTGGTTATTGTTCGCACTGTGCTTTAGACAATGTGAAGTGCCTACATTTTTAAGGGGGAGCGTGCTTTTGGGCCATTGAAACTCTGAGTTACAGCAACAGTGCTGTAGTGCTTCACTGTGTGTTTTCTGATGCACGTTGGTTATAAGTATCCCTACGCTTTTTACAAAATACACAGCGGTGTTGAACTTAAAACAATTTTAAATAGCGTAGTTATAGCATTGAATAAGGTCGAGCTTTTGGGACAGTAGTGTTCTGTATGCACCTAGAGCTGATTCTTCACTCATTTTGTTCAATCTTATGTTGTCGTGCAACTAAACCTTCACAGCATGCTTGATTTCTGTGGTTTTCTGTTTCCTTGGCTTCCCTGTTGGCTAAGGTGAAACACGTTGATCCTGCAGTCGCCTGGTATTTAACTGTGCTACTACAGTGCGTAGCCTTGCAGTCACCGGGAGTTCTCACAGCGTCACATCAAGCATGTGCATGGCTGTTTGTAGGAGGAGAGTCTTAATGAGATGTAAGAGCCCATATGGGTTGTATCTTGTATCAGACTCGATCATTTTCATTTGGCCACCATGCTGATGTTCATTTTGAGAGCAGCAGCTTTGTCTTCTGTGCCCTTACTCTTTTTTTTAATGATAATTTTCAAACTGTTTGAGGTAGTAGGATGTTTTGTCTTTTAAAGGATCCTTAAGAGGGATAGCAGTTGGTGATTTCAGGTTAAGAGCTGTAGCCTTACTTGCAGATGTGATCCTCGGGTCTAGAACCTTGTACTTCTGTTTAGCTTTTAATGGACCCTTATGAATGGCTTCTAATTTTAATTCATTTAATTCATCAGTTTTCTATTCATTTTTGCTGCTTTTTAAATTGCTTTTGTTTGTAGAATTTGAGAAAGTATTTAAAATATTCAATGGACCATCTTCTTGCGTATTTATATCATTTATGAATAAATATAACCGAAAGCAGGAGTGATTGAACATTGTGAGTGAATGTCGTATATTGAGAAGACCTGGGAGGTCAGAGTGCTTTGTTGTGGTATTGCTTTGAGTGTTACAGTATGTGACGTACGAGTCGATGCCGGGGAAATTCTTCAGAATTTTTTTAAATAAATGACTGATGTAAAGATACTTAACGAGTTACGATTGATAATTTGTTACTTGAAATACAAGGTGTCTGATGAGCTTGACTTTTAAGTTGCAATTTGACAAGTTGATGACACTTTTCCATATTTAAAACTGCCTTGCTTCATTAGGGCTTACTTCAATAACACTTACCGGAAATTTATCAAACTCGCTTTTTAAAAAAACTCAACAAAGTAGTGAAAGACAGACATCATTGAAGTGGTGAGGCAACTGGTTTTCATCAAATTATTGTGTGCACTTACAGTATGCCCAGTTTTTTTATTAAGATCTGGTATGACTTATCCCCCCCCCCTTCCACTGTGAAGCCAGTTATTTGCTGTAGAATTTACTTTGGCTGATAAATATTCTCTGATTTGAGAACTAGTTGGGACGTTCGCTAATTCTCACCGTGTGTATATTTTTTCAGACTCGATATAATCTGTTGGTGTGTGGGAGGGGTGGCTGGCAGCAGTTAGAAGTTTTACTTTCTCAGATCCAACTATCGCCTTTCCCTAGGATCTCATAAAAGGAGCTTCAAACACAGTGAGTTTAGAGTGGATGTGCCAAGTCAAAATCACTGTAGATGCTAAACAGTTAAATTGCACCTGAATACTCTTTCAGGTGCTGTTTATAAATATTTCAGTTGCACTTTTAAATAAAAATGAGGTCAAATCCATCTCAAGAGAATTGGGAGTTGTTGCGCAAAGATTACATTAAACCTGTAGTACTTACTTGAATACTGGATTTATTACAGTATGTCACTAACTCCCTTTCCTCAACCTTATTCTTGCTATTTTACGGTTAAACTTTATTATGCTCTATTTAGGCAAGTATGTTGAGTTTTTCTACGGTTTTCCTTCTGTGAGGATCACGACAAAGATACAAGCTATGTTTAACACAACGTTCGGTTGGGCGAGACAATGATTTAACTGGCTAGCTTGGGAGTGAGCGGTGGTAATGTGTTTGCTGGGGTGTACAATACTTTTTTTCTTTCCCGGAGGTTTTTGTATTGGTGCAATGATGCAGGGAACTGGTGCTGGCCACCGCTTCCACTTGCATCCTGTGGTTCTTCTGGTGGTTTGCACTAGTGTGGCCCCACCAGCTCCTGCACACAAGAGGAGGCTTGAATTAAAACTTCTGCCGGGAAGTTTGCTCTACAGACATACGTTCCCTTCCAATATCCATTACTTCTTCAAATGCAGAAGGAAAGTTTACTTTGGATTTCCGAGGAATATGAGGGCAGAATTTGGCCTTGTATTTCCCGTTATGGGGAGCTGTGTGTTCCTATTTGAGGGTAGACGATGCTTCCATTCGTTTTTCTTAATGGTATTCTTGCCCCTCTTCTCCTTTGGTTCTCTGATGGTTTCCGTATGTTGTGTTCCTGTACACCTCTTCTTGTAGCTTCCTCTCTCCTCCCAGGCACAGCCGCGCAGACTGTTTCTGTGTGAGATTGCTTTCAGACATAATTGTGAAGGAGAATATTCCCCCCTCTCTCTGATTTCAGAGGTAGTTACTATTTTCTGAATCTTTCCTTTTGGATAAATAGGCAAGCGATGCAATGTGGTAGAACTTCTCTGATGTCAATTTTTCTCTAACTTTAGGATAAGTGCTTTTCTTGTCTGAACTTCACATCCTCTATCATGAATTGATTACAGAGAAATGCACTAAAAAAAGTCAGTGGAAGATGAGAGAGCAAGAACTAGATGTCTGACATGCAAATTAACAAAACAATGGGACTTTTTAGTACGAAATTAACAAGTTGTAGTGTGTATGTCCTCTGCAAGGCATGCACTTAGTAAGCATTTCTGTTGTATTTGTTGCTAAAACCTGTATGCCTAAAGTGCATGGTTTGGAATTTGCATCGAATGATTCAAACATAGGTTTCATTGTGGAGTGCTCAAGGAGCGTATGTCAGTAGTGCTTCTCTCTGCCATCCTTACTTTTGAGGGGAGGCCGAGCTGAAACTATTCATCATAATTTTAAAATGACTTTCCTCTTGCGTAGAACAGGTGTCTCAGATAGATACTGGCCTTTGTTCCCCTTCAGTTCTCCAGAAAATTCCTTTGCACGTTTGCAGGATCTAAGCTAGCACCTTGAAGGATGTAAACTACTGTCCGTGTCACCATTGAAAAAAGCGTTCTCTTGTTCTGCATCCAAGCTGGGCTGACCAGAATAGACACCAGATAGTCCTGCTATTCCTGGAATGAGGAATCAGGCTCATGATCCTGGCCTCCATACAACTAATATATGCCCTGCTTATTTGCCATGTATTTGCAGGACTATTCTTCTAAAAATGCTTGCTTTGGCGTGTAGCTGTGGTGTAGGTTGGAAGCAAAGTGGTTTCATTCAGTTCTTTCAAGTTAAATAGCTTTCACGTGCATTAGGGTGGGTTTTATTTAGTGTCATAGCTGGCCTTTAAGTGGCTTATTTTCTATAAAAATGGAGTATATGACTCGTCTGGAAAAAGCTGTTGTGGAAGGAACGTTGGTGCCTTTACTCTGGAATATTTGTTTTATTAATTGGCCGTTTAGATCTGTGGTTAAATCATCCCTATTTTTCCTGTTGATGGCTGAAGTTAAATGGCATTTGGATCAGGTGGAGCGGAGCATGGTCTGTACCAGCCTGGAGTTGTGTCAGTGCTCCACAGGGCCATCTAGATCCTGGAGACGTGCCCCCTCGGGGACTGCTTTGTTGGTAATGGATGGGAGCAGCGTAATTCTGCCTAGATGGTTTTGAGTGCTGGAATGCATGATACCTATTTGCAAAACGTTTGTCCACATGCAAGGAGTTCTTCAGACCTTTGTTGTCTCGTACCTTGTTTACCAGCACTGTCTAAAAGTAATTAGCTGTTACTTTCTGAATTTGTAGATGAGGAGCACTTTTGCTAGGTCTGGCAAACCCACCAGGGCATGGGA